AATGAGATTAATTGGCCAGTGGTGTATGGCCTTTGTATTTGGGCCATTTAGATTGCCATACTAAGGAGTTCCTGTGTCCTTGTTTAACATTGCTAAACAAAAAATCTGTTTTTAGTTGTTTAATGCCATTGCCTTGTTTGGGTCTTAGTTAAGTTTTAGATATACTCAATGAGACCTCTTGATTTGCTTCTGAACAACTTCAGGCCTATATTGGTGCTATGTTTGGGGCATTGGGATTATTTTATAAACTTGATTTGAAACATCATTTTATAAAAACATGAATTTTAAGGGCTCAATAGCTCGTTTGCTAAAATTTGTTTCAATGTTTTCTCCCTTTCAGCTCGTGTGAGACTTGAAAATAGTTGCATATTGAAAATAATATGCGTGTAAAGTGTTAGGGTCTGCTCATGAAGTGCATGTGTGTGTGCAAAATGCATTTTTAAAGCCCTCTAACATATGTCTTTTGAACACTGGACACACAGTTGTTTTGTCTTCTTAAGTTTTATTAGGAGACTGTTTTCCGACTCACTCCATGTTAATCTCACAATCCATTGTGAATACTTTGTCTGTTTCACCTCTATGCACACATTGCCGGATTAATTGCTTCACTTATTATGTGGCTTTGCACTAATGCCATGTGCCAATATACTCCCATAGATTGCATCCATAGCTTGAGTGTTAAACGTCTCTTTAGAAATTGATGTGCATCGATATGCTATCAATGCATTCCTCTTGTCCCTTGACTTTGATGAGGTGATAAGGTGATATTGGTGAAGTTTTGTATTAATGAATTGAAAATATATAGTGACCATGCATTTTTTGATATCTATATAAGTTGCATTATCGTTTTGGGTTTCTTGGGCTCATTTCTGATTCGCAAATAAGTAGCAATGCAGTGAATTGGTGCGTCCGAGTGAAACGGAGGCCAACAATACTCTCCCACTTAGAAATTCTTCAACAATTGATAGCAGACAATGGTTGATGTAACTAACATTGCCTTGATAACTAATATAGACTGACTCATGCCTTGTTTTTGCCTTGGTTGCTATCAACAATCAATATATGCACATAAAATTAAAAGGAATGCAGTATGAATAGTGTAATATCTGAATGATGATACCAAGTGTTCGTCAAAAGTTTATCTACTTGAAGGCTACAGGCAAGATTTTCTCAAACCAATTTGTAATAATTAAAACTAATTACAATTATGTGAGAATCAAGCAAACTTCATTTTCTTGTCTAATGCTGTCTATAATTCTCAAAGCTTTTCTGAGGCTGTATTCACTTACATATTCCATTTAGATGTTGAAGATGGTTATACAGCCATAGACAAACATTCCCTGCATTTATTTATGAATTTACAATTGTTTGCTGTAAATAACACTCACATCAACTAAAAACGCCAGATCTAAATTTCTCAATCAAATTCCCTAGATTTAGTTACAAATTTTATATATTACATAAAACCTTCTCTCATGATTTAAAAGAAATCAAAACGCTGAAATATAATTAAAGCACCGATCTGTTGCAACAAACACAAACACATACACACACACACACACACACACACACAAGGCTACTTTGAGGTCATGTTTCTGAAGCTAACTGAAGAGAGATTATCAAGTTGTGTTGAAAATTAACTCAAGCAATTGAAAGAATTGCAATTAAAAGCAGAGTGAGTTTTGGAAAAAGTGATTGATTTGATGTGTGTGAGAGAGAGATTTGTTTGGAAAACTTGTTTGGTTTACAAGTTTTGAGAAATTTTTTTGGAAAAATTTGTTTGGTTTGATTACTTTTAAAAACTTATTTGTAGAGAAAATTTCCCAAAATTTTTTCACAAATACAAACCAAACGAACCCAGAGCCTTTAGCCTCTAAGCCTCCCAAGCTATGTCCTTGGAGGTGGCATGTCACATGTACTTGAAAATGGTTTCCCAAGTAGGGTGAGCCAAAGCCCAATAGAGATATGCTAAACCATACATGAGAATTAACTAAAATGTGAGCATCAGATAAATGTGCAACATTCTTAACCAACACATATTCTTTTCAAGGTCATTCAATATAGATAACCAATATCTCAATTCATTTCCATTCTACCATCTCGGGTAAATCAATTAGCCAAATTCATTATTATCAAGCAACCAATATGAGACTACAACTCAATGGTTCACAATTCAATACGTTCATCAAATTCAACACTTCTATTTCTTGCCATTTTACGGAACCACGTCTGAGGGAACCGACACCCATAAATATATAAGATTTCAGGACTTTCACTCTGGACACTTCGGCCAACTTAATTATCAATGGAGTTTATCCCTATCTCCTCTCAAACAATGGAGTACATCCCCTATCTCCTCCCAAACAAAGATACATATACAATGTATTTAAACACGTTGTCATATACAATGACCAATCAAATCACATATTCAATGGTTTAATCTAACCGTCATATTCAATGACATAATCCAATTGATTAGTTTCAATTCACCTAATCCGCATGCAGTTTCTACAACAATCATAGCTATCCTCCACCGATAGCCCAAAGCAGACATTTCTAAACAGATAAATAAATCTAACAAACAGATAATTTATCATATTTTCCATACATGAGTGATTTATCAAATCCAACTACACAACTCACTCGTGCATTCTTCCAATTTCATATTTCTCATAACAATTTCATTATTTATACCAATAATTTATTTAACTCATACTAGGGTAGATCTCTCAATTTTCAAACATCAACCCCCAAGACTCAATTTCATCATCTATATAAAAATAACTCCATTTTCAAGACCTCACATACACATATGGATCCCCAAATAGAAAACCCCTCTTTCAAAAATTCAAACCCAAACCCTAACTTCACCCAAATCTTCGCAAATCCCACCATTTATACAAAATGACAAATATCTAGGTTAAAATCCATATTAAAGGGTAGAATATCTCTATCTCAAGCTTAGATGAGAGAGAAGAGAGAAAGCTCAAAAGTCGGTGGTGACGAAACCACGTTTTGCTCCGATCAAAACGAAGCCCTTGACAAGCTCTACACTTAATCTCAAAGGAGTAAGGTGAAAAGATCACTCTAGGTGAGTAGATCTAGAGATTTAAGTAAAAAAATTTGAGTTTTAGAGAGAGAAGAGAGAAATCACAGTTTAAGAGGAAAATGGGTGGAAAATCATGAAAGAAAAATGGTTTGGGCCTATTTATAGTAGTAAGAAATAGCCCTAAGGTCAAATAAAATAATAGGTCCAAAAACCCTCTTAGATAGGGCCCATTCGGACCTCAACAATCTGAAAAAAAAAACACGTAGGGGTCGACCATTCGGGCATGGGGGTCGACCCTTAGGCAGAAAACACAATCTGCACAAGCAAGGGGGGTCGACCCTTAGACAGGAGGGGGTCGACTCTATTTTCCAGCAATTAACACATAGACATAAAGAGGGTCGACCCTCCCCAGTCTGGTGTCTACCATATTTTCCAGCAACTAACACATAGACATAAGAGGGTCGACCTTCCCCAGTCTGGTGTTTACCCTATTTTCCAGCAACACTTACAGGAATTTCACCAACAGGTAAGGGTCGACTATTAGGAAGGCTGGTGTCGACTCTAGAATAGAATTTCTAAGTCTCCAAGGGACTTTTGACAAGAACAAGTGCGAACAACCAAACCCAACAAGTTTAAATCGGATTATACTCCTCCAAAATGAACATACAACAACACCAAAGATTTCCAAAATAAAAATAAAGGATTCGAATACACTTTCCCATAAGTTTTGAAGGATATAGGTGCTACACTATGACATTTTTTTTTTTGCAAGTCATTAATTCATATATTTGTGTGGCATGCAAAAGTATGCCATAAAAAATGTATATTTTCACGGCTTACAAAAATATGTCATAAAATATTTGCACTTAAGACGACATACATTTCATGTCAAAAACTATTTTAACTTTACACGGCATGCATTAGCACGCCGTGAAAACTTCTACTAAAAAAATTTTAATCTGATTTTTTTATGGCATACAAAAGTATGCCATAAAAAAATATATTTTCACGTCATACAAATATTTCCATTTAAGACGACATACATTTTATGTTGTAAAATATTATACATTTACACGGCATACATTAGTATGTCGTGAAAACTTCAATTAAACAAAGTTTCAATCTGATATTTTTTTAAAATTAAAAAAAAAAAAAAAGTTAACAATTTCCAACCAAGTTTTTCACTTTAAAGTTTCCTAATTGATGACAATGTAAAAAATAATTTATAGCGTAATTTTTGTTTTACTTAATATTTTACTCTCTATTCACATGGTGTCATATCTTGTAAGTTCCACACACTATTTGAGTAGTGAGTAAAATATTAAATATTAAATAAAAAATTTGATTAACTTAACATTAATCTTTAAGTGGTCACATTTTCTATTATTGAATTTGTAATCCAACCCTTCAATTGAATAAAAACTGCATCTCTTAAAATAATGGGAGAAACGTTTTATATACATTTATATTTATTTGGGTTAATTACACTTTTCACCTCTATCATTTGATCTAAATTTTAATTTAATTCCTATAGTTTTAAAGTGAATAATTTGATCCATATAATTTGAGTTTAATATCAATTTTGTCATTATGTCCAAATTAAAGATTTAACTTGATTATTTTGGAACACTTGTCAATTTTCTAAGATATATATAGATAGAATTAAAAAAAATTTAGACAAAAAAAATTAAATTAAAGTATGAATTGTCCATATAGTTCTAGAATTTACATCTCACCCCTGAAGTTTAAAATTTTATAACAAATGATCCATTTTATTAATAAATTATAAAGTTAATTAACAATTTTTAATGATATTAAAAATTTATTTTAAATAATAATTCAAATAATTTTATTATTATAGCAGTTAATTTTTTTTTTTTTAATTAATTTTATTAAATAAAAATAAGAATAAAAAAGTATATGAGGGAATATTATTGGGGATTCTTTGTTACTTGAGCGAGAGACTCTCTCTCTCTCTCTCTCTCTCTCTCTCTCTCCTCGTCGTCCTCCTCCTCCAAAACCCTAGAAAAAGAACCAAACCTTCAAATCCCCTATAGATCTTCATACATTCTTTGCATTTGAGATGAAAGTAACATAGATCTTGGATTCACACAAGCAGACGAGCACCACCATCGACCACCATCAGCCGCTGCCACTCCGAGCTTGGAGTTCGATTCCGAGCTTGGAGTTCAATTCTGACTCTAAGCCCCTTCCACGGATTCGATTAATTTGGTGTTTGCATATCTATTCGATTAATTCGATTCGAAGCCTTGAATTTATGTGTTCGATTCTCCTCTCTCATCTCTCTTTGATTTTGATTTCTAGGGTTTTCATGCCCTTATTGAATGTGTTTTCACTTCTGTGATTGCTCGTTTTGGGATTGAACAAAAAGGACCTCTTTGCGATCGCTTCAGTCAAAGTCTACTTGGAAGAACGTTTTCACGGTACCTTCTCTCTCTCTCTAGCTCTTGCTTTCTGGTTTTTACATGCTGATTTTCGCTTGCATTTCGAGATTTCTATGATTTTGCGGTGGTTTAGTAGAATGAATTGATGTTGAATTTGATATTCCTTGCTGAAGATTGACATTATGATTACGCTTGTGTTGTCGATCTGATGATCTGAACTTAACTGTTGTGATAGACTTTAATGCTTTAACTGAATTTAACGCTTGTGTTGACAATACAGTGATTGTTGCTCAATCAACCACTGTATTGTATTTGGAGTACTGTAACATCCAACCCAGTTGTTCTATAAACCTACCTTGTTTAAAAAAACTGACTCTGAGTGAATCCAAGATCAGAGACAATGTTTTCAAGAAAATAATTCAAAAGCTGCCCATTGATTGAGTACTTGTGTGTTGAGTTCTGTAAAATCTTGCAACACATTGAGGTTTCAATTCCAAACCTCAAGTCCTTGAGGCCAGGGAGGTCGCATGCCCCCTGAGTTTTTCATATTTACACCATTTCCCTTATATTGTGGATTTTTTCTTTTCTTTTCAATGATGTGTAATATGTGCCCCTTCTGCCTTGAATTTCTGACTCCGCTACTGATAGTTCATGTAGACTTTTTCGTCCATTCTATATTTTTTGGTAAGACTATACAAACACAAATTATAGAGAATTAATGATATGGTTTAATTAGGGCCATTCATTTCAAAATAAATCAACTCTTACAATAATTTGGGAAGTAAAGTGTACAGAAAATTGTGTGTGGTAGGGATCATATCCAAATAAATTTGGAACACAGCATTCCTTAGGTCCTTAATTTCCATAAGAGCAATGATATAAAGAATTCACATATAGAATTATGTGATTTTTACGTTGTGTTTAGATCATAATTGTATTTGGAACATAGATTTGTGTAAGAATTTACAAAAAGAAGGAAAAAAATGGAGAAAAAAATTTAAACTTATATTTCATTCACATTATGCTTACTTATTTTCTTCTATTTTTTAATTTTTTACCCAAATTTATAAATAATTTTTCCTGGAGAATTGAGTTAAAACGTGCTCCCTCCACTACATGCTTTGAAGCATTTGAAGTTAGAGATAATAAGTGCATCATCAACCACTTGTTCAACAATTGTGGATGGCTTGGTTTGGATTTTTCCTGGTTTAGAGACCCTAACCGTAAAGTTTGCTTCTACCAATAAGCTCATTAAGGTAAGGAAATATAACCTCTTGCGTACAGGACAAACTTCATTTGATGGAGTGCTTAGTCATTTGTTTTGTTAATTATAGTTCTTCCAACATTTTTCGGAGAATGTATACAGAGCCTTGTCAGCTAGCACAATTGGGTTTTGTTAATTACAGTTCTTCCAACATTTCTCATGTTCAATACAGAAGACAATCTTGCTTTTTGACATTGTTCTGTGATATCTTTCAGGTCCTATTACTTTTTGCTGTCTTGTATGATGTTTCATTTTAGAGTAGATTTTTTTAGAGATTTGCTTAAGTTTTTGTGAAACTTGATGAAGATAAGGGAAGGATTGTGCAACGAAAGAGAGAACAGGATTTGAGAAATATACTGCAATGCACAAAACACCGCTGTGTTCTCTGTCACTATTAGATGGGAATTAACCACTAGTACATTTATGTATTGAAGATGAGGGTTTCTCCTCTGTTTGGGTACCCACTTATTGGAGAGGCATATTTCTTCTTGTTTGCACAAAATGACTTGAGCAGGTGTCTAGGTGATATTGTCTGGCTTAATGTTCCAAGCCAGTTTGTCAATGACATTTGAAGTGAATTAACCTATAATTCATGGCGGTGATTGAAATTTCTCATTGATGGTTCAATGAAAGTATTAGAGCTAGCTAGAACAGGATAACATTTTCCATTCTACTTTCTTTTCAACCTGTTCCTACATTATCTTTGGAAGCACCATCGATCTTTTACAAGCCATTTCTTACCCCAATATTTTAAATTAACTACTTGATGTGTCGTGCTCTACCAAACTTCCTTTAAGCCTTCAATCAGTGGCATATCTTTTCTCCTTGCAGCTTAATGGATTGTCTATCTAGGAATTGTCTGAATGCAATCTTGCCCTTATTCGTGACAATTGCATAACTCAAAGCCCATATTGCTTGTGTCACAGGGATGTTGAGGTTTTTTCTATTTATAGGCACCAATATCGAAAAGTTAAACTAATCTTTCTTCACTCAACTTCATTTTTTATTTATTTATTTTTATTTATTGTATCTCATTCACGTTAGCTTAATTGTAAATAGAATTTGCATGGATTAGGATATAAAGTATAGCTGAAATATTGTCCTTTCTTTTATAATCATTTTTGTGGAATGGTTGGTTGGCTGCTTGTTAGTTTGTTGATGTAAAACACAGGTCAATCTCAAGAAAACGTTATACTATAATGTTGTAAATGTATATATCAAATACTATTTGGTCCTGAATTTCTCCATTATTCATTTCACAAATTGTTTGTCATTGTCTTTAATATTAATTTTCTTTGTTTAGGAAGGACTGTGATGGATCAAAACAAATACAGATGGGGTTTAAGAGTCGGTCCAATCTGGTTTTGTTTTCTTTATTCTCAGTTGGAACTTTTTACGGCATATAAAATTATGTCATGAAAAGTGTAATAATTTATGACATGCAAGAAAATGCCGTAAAAGATTATATACGTCATACAAAGTAGGTCATAAATATATTAAAATGACTTTCTACGGCATACAAAATTATGTCGTGAAAAGTGATGATTTATAACATGCAATAACATGCAATAAAATACTGTAAAATATTATATACAGTATACAAAGTATGCAATAAATATATTAAAAATAAATTTTTACGGCATGTAAAATTATGCCATGGAAAGTATGATGATTTATGGCATGACAAAAATGTCGTAAAAAATTATATACGACATACAAAGTATGCCATTAATATTTAATTAATTACTCTTTACAACTTAACCTGCATCTCGTAAATGATGCTCAACTTTCTACGGCATGTCATATAACGTTATTTGTGTGCATGCCGTGAAAGAGTTTTTACGGCATCCATTGCAAGCCGTAAAAATTCAATTTTGTTGTAGTGTTACAAACATCACATTCGATTATAAAAAAAATACATTCCTCTTCCCAAATATAAATATTTTAATCTACTAAAATAGTCAAAAATTAAAGTAACATACTAAAATAGATAATTTTTTAGAGTAATGTTAGAAACTTCAAAAGTTCTATCAAAATTTCTATCAAATGTCTTATATAGGTGTAGGACTCATACCATGTGGGTCCAGCATTCATGTAAGACATTTAATAAAAATTTTAGTAGAATTTTTAAAATCTCTAACATTTTTGAACTTTTTAAATCAGACCTGAGTTGTGGGAATTTAAATAAAAAAATAAATGCATGGACAAATATAATTTGTTAAAAAATTATCATAGCTATAATAATGAGTACGTGCTACATCGCTAGTTGTTGCAGTACTTGGAGGTTTTAAAAAGTACATACTTTCAATATGAAAAAGAGATCAACAAATCTATTAAAGGATAAACCAATGAACCAAAGAAATTACCGTCCAAAGTTGACGTCTCATGGTGGTTGATTTCTTGTCCTAGTGGAGATGTTCCGATTATCCTCAACATCATAAAAGAGAGGATAATTATAGAAGATACTTGGGAGTTTATACGGAACAAACCACCACAAAGATTTGTTTCAAGATTCCCTCCAACAAACTATCATAAATTCAATATTGGAGTTATTGAACAAGATGTAGAAATTTTGACTTGTGCTTTACTACGGAATGAAAACTTGGGGTAGTTAGATATCAGTATAGTAACAAGGGCAAGATAGATATCAAGAAAGCCCAATTGAAGGTATTCATCGAGGGCATGTTAATGGTGCTCTCTCACAAGGAGAGTGAGATTAGTTTGTTGATTGTAGAGATGACGGACAAAGAAGTGATCAAGCAAATAAATTCAAATATGCTGCTTGATTTTAGCTTGTTTGATAAGCTTCAGGATGTATTTTATATTGAATATTATTTTATTACTATTATTTTCATTAATATCATGTTATTTATTGAGTTTTATTTGTTTTACAGTTTGGGAAACTGTTTAAAACGTTGTTTCAAGGATGTGGAACTGGTATGGGTTCCTCGATAGATAAACAAGGTTGCTGAAAAAGCTTCCACAAATGTTAAAGCAACTTTTTGGTCTTCTAAGGTCTTGGATGTAGAGATCGTAGCCATAAATGACATTCTTGACAATGACAAAGGAATGTTGGTAGCATATGATGTTGATGAATAGAGCAAGCTGCAGTTATATCTCTGTTGGTCTCCTCTGAAATTGGAGCTGAAAGTAGAAAATACCTTCTAAATGAAGCTCAAGCAACCTTAACTGTTCATTTTGTTAGTTTATATGTTTGCATTATATATAGTAAAAAATTTCCATCGATTCGATAATCAATATCATATGATTTCAGCCGTTTCAAAATCGGATATAAAAAAAAAAAAGAACAGTTAAGGTTGCTTGAAACGGCTAAACAAATCCGATTTTGAAACGGTTGAAATCATATGATTTTGATTATCGAATTGATGTAAATTTTTTACTATATATAATGCAAACATATAAACTAACAAAATGAACAGTTAAGGTTGCTTGAGTTTCATTTAGAAGGTAACTTCTATTTCCAGCTCCAATTTCAGAGGTGACCAAGGGAGATATAACTGCAGCTTGCTCTATTCATCAACATCATATGCTACCAGCATTCCTTTGTCATTGTCAAGAATGTCATTTATGGCTACGATCTCTGCATCCAAGATCTTAGAAGACCAAAAAGTTGCTTTAACATGTGTGGAAGCTTTTTCAGCAGCCTTGTTTATCTATCGAGGAACCCATACCAGTTCCACATCCTTGAAACAACGTTTTAAACAGTTTGCCAAACTGTAAAATAAATAAGACTCAATAAATAACATGATATTAATGAA